TTTTATTTGGTCATAGTCTTCAGGGTTAAGTGTTTTCATCCCCCTACCTTCCATCAAGCATTGTTGAGTCCCAGCTCCCTTTAGGTTCTAATCTCTTTAGATTCTCATGCATTTGGTTAAAAAGCTGCTAGAATTGCTCAGCTCCAGGGAGAAGCCGAGCCCCATTCCTCTAAGCCCTGGCTTTGTGGACTGTTCTGCTGCTTCTGCACAGATTTTCTATGTTTTTCTGAACTCTTCTGTCTGTCCACTGTTTCTGTTCTAGTAACATCTACTTTGTCCCTTTCTGTATTTTTCTCCTCTCAGCCGTCTGCAGCAGAGTAAAGTCCTGTCACTCTGAGCGGACAGACGTGTCCATGTGGATCTGCTCTTCAGGCTTCCTGATAAAATCCAGTTCTATGTTCAGAGACAGACTGAACTCAGTGACTGGGTTTTACTTTCTGAGTGCTCAGAGGTCGACAACATCAAAGTCTCAGCTTCTCATTTAATAAAACATCTCTATAGCATAGTCTCACATTTTAAACAGTCTGAAACTTCCCATCTTTAATTGCTTAATTCATCTTTTGGCAACAAATGACAGACTGTTGTTTGAGGAAGGTGAAAAACTCGAAGCAATGCAGTGAATCTGTGAGCCTGTTTCTCCTCTAAACACCCTGGAAACCAGATTTTAATCTGTTTCCATTCCTGAATCCATCAGAAACGTTCTGCAGTGAGAAGAAGAAAATGCTGCTGAGATGATTTAGAGGAGAAGAACGCATCACACATCTGTACTCAGGTTTCCAGCAAATTCAGAAGGATCTGAAGGTTTCAGATCTTTTTTTCATCCCAAAAAATAGAAAGAAAACAACTAGAACCAGTTTTCTTTATATGATAGTATAGAGCATAGAGCAGCAACAAGCTGCTGCCTGGTCTGTATCATTTTTGAATACTCTGTTCGTTATTCATGGTAAAGCACTTTGAAGCAGACTCTCATTGAACTGGCTCAATGATCTATTAGCTGCTAACAAAGTGAGTCCATTACTCAGATTAATTGGAAGAGTTCCTCTAGTGTTGGACAGATTAACAAGCTAAACTGGTTTTCTTATTTACCTGACAGATAACAGATTCATCAGTGCATTCATGGCTTTGCCGCCTTTAGACGTCTCGGGCGTTTTCTGTGTTTTATTTTCTTTCAATCATTCCACTTTTTGTGATCTTACACATTTTTCAAACGTGTTCAAACATTCTGATACACAGTCGGTTCTGTGAAATCCCAGAACTAACGATGCGCCAATCAGACGTCCAGAGACCCGGGTTTTCTTTGAGCTGCTCTGATTGGTGATCAGCAGGTACAATAATGAAAAACATGTCACTTCTGTCTGAATTTCAATAGGATATGACAGGGTTGTTGTAATTTGACATGCTGCACCATGCATGGAGGTGGAAATGGGAAGAGATTAGCAGAAGAAGGTCACCTTAATCCTGTTTGGTTTGCTTTAAATGGACCAGAGTTTGTTTCCTTGGATCGTCCGCTTTGCTTGGCCGGGTTTGAAAGAACCCAAGACGGAACATAAACTGAGGAAACTGAAGAAAGGACACAACGAATGACTTACTGTGCCCAGATTATCCCAGAGTGAAGTAAAAGCACAAGAATAACCAAACCATGTGACCTTTCAGTAAAGTCCATTTCTCCAAATCAACTGCTGATACATGTGCAGCACAAATAAATGCTGTTATTTTTAAACTTGTCTTTGTATTTTTTAATTATGAAATTTAAATGTAGTCGATATTTGGTTAAATACCCCAGAAATCTGGACAGCAGAGCCAAGTTGGTGACTGATGGCTACACACAGTCATTAGCTAGTTAATATTTTTACAATAGTTTTTAAAACATAACAGTTTAAAAACCAGAACTATTTTATTTTTCTTACAGGTAAAAAGTCTTTTTACCTATTTCTCTTATTGGTAGAAAGTTGGTTGTTTGGGAAGTCAAGTGGAAACTAAAGGAGAAATGTTTGTTACTGTTCTGAGTTTTTTAAAGTATAACAGATTAAAGTAGAATCTTTATCTTCTTGAACTGCTGCTCTGTAAATAAGGCTGTAATATTCACACTCCCAACTTTTTCACTTCAGTCTGAACAGCCCAATTCCAATATTAACACCTCTCAAAATATCCAATTTGTTCGCTTCCATTAGTGGCACAACATCTGATAGTTTTCAGAGCGTCTGCAGTCTGAGCGGTCATGTTGCATTTTATCCGACTTTTACTTTATCCAACTACAAATCCAAACAAACTTCTCTATGGAAGTCGTAGTCCATGTTCCATTTAGCTGTACTTTGTTTTTTATTAACTGTTATGATCTTGTGACGGCGGCGGCGTCTGTTATTACTCCTGTTAGCAGATTGTTGCTGAGTAATGTCTACGTTCTTCTGTGCATTGTGGGATATAAACCGTTCACACAGAAGTCTGATTGTGGTCACATTTCAGACCTGATGTGCGAGTTCAGCCTATTAGAGATAATATTCAGTGAGTATTTAGGCCATTCCTTTTACATCTCAGCACTGAGATAGGATGTGGTGGAGAAGAGCAGATGTTGCGTCATCAACCATAATTCATGCGTCCTAAAGGGAGTTTTTCCCTCTCTAATGGTAAAACACAAGCAGGCCTGCTGAGCTGCTCTCTGTCAGCAGGATATTCCTGGATTTACTTTTCGGAGGCTGAGTTAAAGCTTTTCCTCTGCCTTCAGGCAGGGCCGGCACCACTCAGCTGAAAGGAGACGATATGAACACCAACAATGGCTGCTGCTTCACCAGGTTCTGCTTCTGTACAGCGTCTTGCAATGAGAGCCAGTGAGAGTTAATATGCTGTTAACTAATGACTGGAGGGACGCTGGGGGAGGAAATGACGGCCTGCATGTCAGGAGGAATGTTGTAGATTTGAAGCTAATTTAACAGTTTATTCCTAATCCAGGTTGCTGTCAGTTTTTAGCTTTCCTCCATGTCTGGACTTCATCTCAGCGTGTTGCTGGGATTTTGAGTACATGCAGCTAATCAGTGCAGATGCAGCTTTCTGTGCCCATATTTCAGAAAAAGTAGCTTTTGTGAAAGTTTATTAGTACAAAGGATTCTCTGTGGTTATATTGGTGCCGGAATATGATGCATTTTCATAATTCAATTCAAAAGGTGAAACATAGGTAATGTAGATGTGTTGAACTCAAATTGGGATGCAATGATTCACTTTTTTCACATCTGGTACCGATATCTGGGGTTTAAAATCGTCCAATAGACTCTGATACTGATTTAAAACTTATCTTTTTTTTAAAACGCAGACATAAATGTATCCAATTACACATTTATGTGGTTACTCTGCACCAATGCAGCTCATTTAAACTCACCAATAGCTTCACCAGCTTGATCAAACCTGTAAAAACAACTTTAATTTGTTCAGCCATTGTAACTAAGAGTATAACAGCTCATGTAATATTTAATAAAGAAAGTGGAAGTGGCAAAAACAAAAGATTGACTTCCGTATTCAAACATGTAAAAATAAGCTACAGCAAACCTTTTTTTTAAATGACTCAAAGTGTAAATTTTAGGAATTCTACAAATAATGTAAAATAAATAATAAAGCATGACGTCGCTGAGGAAAGGGTAGAATTAGACAGAATAGATCTGCTCTCATAAATCGGACACATTATCATCGATACCTGTTCTAGAATCTATACAGATAATAATATTGGTGAATAATTATTGCATATTGCAGATAATGATCAATAGACAACCAGAATATTATAAATAATAGTGTAGCTGGTGTTTGGACCTACAGGACATTCCTGAAGGAGCTGGTTGTACTTTTACTCCTAAAAGTTTTTTTTTTTTTTTTTTTTCAAAAGGTACTCAGATGAGTAAATGTAACTTGTTACTCTCTCTTCAGCTGACCTGTGAAAACCACGACAGCAGGCAACAAATACAAAATCTGACCATGAGGAATACCTCTGTACTCAGAATGACGGGAGAATTTAATAAAAAACAGAATTAAATTAAAGCTGAAATGTTGTTTTTGACAGCAACTCAAAAGGTTTCCCAACGAGGCCATGATGAAACAGAAACTCACAAAATGGGATAAATTTGATGGGATTTCAGAACTTGGGAGCAAACATGATGCCTGAAGTCCCAGAAATTCAAAATCCACCAGTTACAGCAGAACCAGAGGTTCTGAGGTGTTTAAAGGTAAAATGAGGAGAGTGGGCGTTTCACTCAGGTTAAAGGAAGTCAGCCTTTTTTATTATTTTGACAGATCAGACAAAGAATATTCATACATAAAAATAGTTGTTTTCTTGGACAAGGCAGTGATGAATAAACAGGTCAGTGTTTTTGTGGATATTTTGCACTGACTGAACAAATTAAACTTGTGTTATTTTACATGTTGACCAGCTGTTGGTGACTTTAAATGAGTTGTACTGGTGCAGAGTTATCAAATGTGTAATTCAGTACATTTCCATGTGTTCAGTCAATTCAGCACTGATTTTCTGTATTGGATCAGTATTGGCCAATACTAAACCTCAGATATTTGAATCTGTAGTGAAAACAGTGGATCAGTTCATCCCTATAAATTGTTGAGGCATTTAAACTTCTGAAAAAACAATTTAAAGAATTTTGGTGTAATGTGAGACACCGTAGTCGCATCTGCAGAATCTTCTGCTGAAATGAAATGACCCGATGCCCCCTGACCCTCCGTCCCTCAGACTGATCATCTCCAGGACAAACACTGTTGCTTTTTCATCCAAGTGTTTGTTTCATTTTGCTGATCTCATCTCTGACCCCCGAATCCCCTGATAGGAGGAAAATAGTTGAACATGTATAGTCAAAGGAACAGAGATGTGCTTAATAAAGACACTGGGAGTGGAGAGGAGGAGCTCCGTTCTTCATGCAGCCGCTGCATTGGTTCTCCGCTCTGCAGTGGGGAGGGGCCGAGCGAGAGAGGGAGAGAGAGAGAGACTCTTGGGGGAGGAGGGCAGAGCTCTTGGTGGATGATAGGGAATGCCCGTTAGTTGCGTCTGCCGATAATAGCACATCAGCCAGAGCGCTGCTACTGGGGGAGCAGAGCACAGGCAGCGCGGAGGACTGAGCCGCTGAGCGCACAATGGTTCACCAGGCAGGGAGCGAGAAGGGAGAGCGCATCCGCACATGTACAGGAGAGGAGGACTGAGCCGGAGCAGGGCAGCAGGGAGAGGAGCAGGAGGAGGAGAAAAGTTACCCGGTCAGCAGCTGAGACTCACTTGGGTCTCAGTCCCAGTGGAGGAGCCAAGCACATCAATGAGCAGAGCAGGAGGAGAGTGATATTACAGCAGGGAGAGTTGCAACTCCTCAGAATCCAGTCCTGTCATAAGGCAAACAGGAGCCGCTGCACTGCTTGCTCCAGGATTATTACAGGAAGGCAGAGGACCCTTACTGTGAACCTGCCCCCAAAGTGCCTCTGCTGCTCCATCCAACTCACTTCTGCAGGAGACCACAGGAAGGTGGATGTAGTTGGGTGCCTTTGTCTTTTTCTTTTCTTCTAAACTGTGAAGCAGTGGAGATTTGAAGGGCAAGTAGTTCTGTCTTATCTCTGGGACTATGTTAGACTGTGCATCAGCAGCAGCAGCAGGCGCTCTAGAGCATGGAGAAGTCCAGCAGTGAGGAGTCAGCCATTCACCGTAGTCCGTCAGTAGACAGCCGGGATTCTGATTTTCCTCAAGCCTCCACGTCTGGCCGGCCGTTCGGTGGCCGCGGCTTCACTGCCGGCGCTTTCTACGGCTCCACGGGGCCACGCAAAAACACACAGCAGGGGCCGGCCGGAGCGGCAGCCGACACCGGCACCGCGGACAAGACCAACAAGTACAGCTCACCCAAAGGCAGCAAATACGTGGTCTTTTACCTGGACCTATCCTTTGTGTTCCTTCTAGAGTTCAAGAAGTGCAACATGGCGAGAGGCTGTTTGTGCTGCTTGAAGTATCTGATGTTCATCTTCAACCTCATCTTCTGGGTAAGTGGCTCATCATTTTCCTAATGTTTGTCTTGGCATGCTGGCTCGTATCGATCCACTTGTCATGGGGGTGGAGGATCTGGATCAGGAGGAAAACCTGAAAACTCAAGGTGTGAATGAAATATTAATCTGGGGAAACATTACTGTATGACAAAACGACAAAACGCTGGCTGTCGGGACAATCGCGTTTCTAATTACATCAGGGTGTTTATGCTTGTTCCATTCTGTGCAAGCTGCTATTCCTGGACGCAGTGACAGAGTCAGTGGCAACACACCAGGTCTTCTTTTGTGTTCTGTGGTGCTGATGGGGGCTGATCTGGGTCACTACTTTGGAAGGGATTCAGAGCTAACATATAGGGAAGTTCCTCAGCTGTAGTTTCATGTTATTGAATCTGTTTCTTTTTTTATTGTCAGCTGTAAATACACTCAGATGAAACTGAGAATTGTAATAAAACCCTGAAAGTGTAATGATTACAACACAGTATCTGATTTTCCTTCTGACTGTTGCGTTTACAGTAATGACTGTAATAAATCTGAGCGCGCCCGGTTTACTCACCCATAGATTCTAGTCAGGATGCGGCAGGCTGAGCCGCGGGTAGCCATGCATGGGCATTTATCATGAAAATGGGCATCCCTTCAGTGATTACAGGATGGATTATAAGGCTTATAGGTTATGAGGGTAAGTCTTTTGTGTGGATGCAGTGAAGCGTGAAGCATTAAAAAACATCCCAACATGAAGGAGTCAATCCAGCCAGGCGGCCGTATCGCTGAGCTGGGAGTCCTGGTAACTGGGGCGCAGGGTGGCATGAGCCTGTGGACTGCCCAGTCTGACACACACACACACACGCACGCCCACACACACACACGCACGCCCAAACACACACACACACACACACGCACGCCCAAACACACACACACACACACAAAATGACTCTGTCAGTATAGATCTTTCCTTTTCATCTGTCTTTAGCTCATAGCTCATGATAGTTATGTCCATTACCATTAATGAAATTCTGAAATATGCAAAATCAAAAGTTTTAAAGTTTGAACTCATAACACAATAGAATCAAAGTATTCAGCTTAAATGTGAGAATTTGAAGGTATTTTTTATTATGAGTAGGAAAAAAATCTGGAGAAATGTTGTCTGAGCTCAGTAACTGGGAGACCTAGTGAACCAGCACCCTACGAAGGGATTTAAAAGTGTTGTGGTTATTAATCCTTTGGGACATAAATTGCACTTTAAAACATGGTCAGACTTGTAAAAAATTGTCCTCTTGTTCTTCTCTGCCTGGTAAGGAGGGTCTGGACTCTCATCTATTGAAAAAGGATTGCTTGCTGGAGGAGTTGACAGTTGTTAACAAAATTGCTAACTCAAAGGTAATACTCCAGTTCAAGTTGTTGGAAATTGTCTGCACTGTAAACAACCATCCTCTACTGTAAAGAGAGAAGTGCTGATCCGAACTTGGCGGCTGTTGATGTTAATTCAACATTGGAGGCGTGGTGAACACGGACGGAACGGCTTTGGTCACTTCCTCTACAACTAAAGGCACACTACAACTCTACGACATTACAAAAAATCAACGTCATCATTCACAACTTCTTCTGTTTGCTGATTGGACTGGTCGAAATTCTAACAGAGAAATTGAACTCAGTGGAGGAAATCCCAGACGTAGGACTGAAGGGAGATGAGAATCGATTTCAGGAAGGGAATGACCAGGCTGTAACAAATATACTGTGGTGCTCCAGTTCTGACCAGCATTATTACGCTGATGCCCACAGCCAGCAGCCAAATGCCCATTTCTCCAAATACTTGTCACCAGAAGGTTTCGAATTAAGGAGCCACATTATGACCATAAATCATATTTGTCTCCTCATAATCAGTCAGAATCACTCATTTTACAAATGATGGTTTAACTGCACTGCAGTTTTTAAGTCTGTTTGCAGTTAGGTGCAACAACCAATATCTACTTCATTCTCTGCTTCATTTGGCTCAAACAAAGAAAAAAAATCCTGTCTTGTAAACTTGATGCAGACAAAAACATCCCAGCTGCTCGGGTGGTCTGGCTGTTGACTCCCTGCTCAACCTGCTGGTCAAACTGGCATGATATGATCTCCCTCACTCTGTCTCCTTTTCCTTCAGTCAAAGGTTCCCGTTGTTTCATAATCCTGGATGTTTGTAGTGGAGAAACTGAAAAATCTGATTTCCCTCCAGAGCTCACCCACATTCCTCACTGAAGTGATCTTTGAGGCAGAAGTGCACAATATATCCTCTTTCTGTGTTAAGAAGAAACCACTTAACAATCTGAAATATTTCTGTTCAAATTGTGTTCTTTAAGAGCAATAAAAATGCCAATAAATATAATCATATTGTGATCCCGTCCACAGAGGAAGAATCAAGAGTGATTGGAAAAGATATAGAAATGACTGAGGCTCTTCAGTGTTTGCTTAAATGACTGAGAAGGTCATAAAACCCCAGCTTATGATAGATTCTTTATTGCAGATATTGACCTACCATCTTTCTCATCTCAGTAGGTTCCAATCGAGTGCTTTGGTCTCAAGATGGCCACTGTTTGCTTTACAGATGAGATTTCCAGGCTGTTAGATGATCAATTAAGAGTTATTAGGTGTGTTTCTTCACTGAAAACTTCAATCAAAATCTTCTTATTTTTATCAGATATCTTATTTAAACTCACAAAGTGTTTGCAAATTATTTAGAGTCAAGTATCTCACACTGACAACATAACTAACATTCAGATGTTTGGTGCAGGGGGACAGCAGAGGGGAAAACTACCTTTTAACAGAAAGAAACCTCCAGTAGAGCCCGACTCAGTAGCTGCCATCTGCCTCAGCCGTCTGGAGGTTAAGAGGACAGGAAAGAGACACAGACAAACACAGATGGTGTTGGCACTGAAAACCTGCCAGGACAAAGAAGAAAGACCAAGTTAGGAACAACATTAGTGTACGCTGGCATCAGGACGAAAAGGGAATGTAAAGACGCTCTGTAGCAACATACCTGCAGGCACGGCTCGATGTGGATTAGCAAAGACAACTTTATCTTTTTCCAACCATTAAACTGACATTGAGATTCACTTTTCCTTAAGAGCCAGTTTCTTGTGGGGAGGCTTTTACTTAAACTCTTTCCAGACTCAGTTTGTGCTTAATGACTTTTAGCAGTGAAGCCTCACCGCTAATAACAGGCAGAACAGACTTTAGACGTCATGGCCGGTGCGTTCCAGTTTTCATTTAGCTTGTTGGTCTTCAGAAAGATTCTTAAAGAATGTTTGTTTACTTTGATCTGGGTGACATAGCTGAAAAATTGATCTCAATATCAGCGTTTCATATCAGTCTATTGATAATTATTGATTACTTTTTTGTTGTAAATATGTGAAAACTGCCAAATTGCTGACATCTTGAGCTGTTCTGGTCATTTTCTCTGTTCTCTCCGTGTCATTTTTTATTTTTAAGCAGTTATGAGGCACAGAGGCAAAACATGAAACTGCTGCTGCGCCAGTTACTCAGCAAGTTGTTGCTAGGTAACCAAAGGGTGAGCGAGTCGATGCCACCTGTGCCTAGCTAGCCGTGAGAGATTGAGCAACTAAAGCATTTCCTCTGCCTACATCCCCCAGAATGCTGTGCAGTTCTGATTCAGAGTTCAGTGAAATTATTGAATATTCTATTGGACGTATATCTGTTGATATTGATCACATGTCTATCGTGATATATATTGTTACTGAGTTATTGACCAGGCCTATATTTACTCCAGAAGTGTCCTCTCTGATTGTTTGGTCGTTACACTGAAGGCTTTAACCAGCACCAAATAATACGGTGTCTCGCCATCAACACGATTATCTGTAGCTGCTTACGGACTTCTAAAAATTCAAACTTTGGGGTCAGTGTGCGGGTTAGTGGAGCTTTGAGTAATGAGATCACTCCACAGTCATGATAGGTCGCCTCGGACGAAGGGAGGAGGAGGAGGTATGTTGTATCTTGACACTCCTGGGACCGCGCTGTTCTACCTTCGGCACTTCAGAAATCACAAGGTTACTGAAGCTGGTAGAGAGCTGTTCCTCTAAACGTTCTGTCGTCTCATGTGGAGATCGGAGACGGATGAGGGAACGATCCACAGCGGTAACCAGACACCAGACACACATGGACAAGCACGCTCGCCGGGCACACAGCATGTTTACCTCCCACACATCTACAGTTGCTTACACTAATAACCTGGAGGTAAACAGTAGCAAGCACTCGAGGCATTGCTGTACATGATCTTCAGCCCCAGCAGCAGTTGTCCGTGACCATCTGGCTCCTCTTTCTTATGAGGGATTAGGAGAGTCTGAGCTGCAGGGGGTAGTTTGGGCCAGATTAGAGCACTACTTGGTTGTGCGGCTGGGGATTGAGAGCACGACTCCTTAGGACAGCTCAATGCTAAAGCTTACATCATCAAAGCAAAATGCCTTTGTAGTGTGACAAATAATGTGGTTGAGTGGGGACGAAGACCTGCTGTGCTCGCCTCTAAGCGTGTGTTAATAGTGTCTGTTGGAGCCGCCTGATAGGGCCATTGATGTTCAGTCCTGCTGCTGTTAGCCTTGCTGTTATCAGCGCTGGTGTTCTTGCTGGGAGCAAGGATTTCATTTTCCTATTGTGTAGTGCTTTCTCAGTATTGCCTTCATTCTGAGCGCCCCGATTCAGAGTTCAGTTTACTGTGGAATAACAATGTTTTTACAAGTATTTATCTTTTGCTTTGGCTTTTTTAAAAATTAAAGAGGGCTTAAAAACTGTGCTTAAAAATTTTGTTACCGAGTGCCTCATAAAATCACCCACAAACTCTTTTTCTTTGTTGGAGATTAGTTGTGCAGCAGGCTAATGGCTCTGCCCCAGCTGTGCCATTATCCTGCCATATCAGAAGCTCACTTGATATTCATATTTAAAAGGAAAGTGTCGGTTCAGCAGTCTTGTCCTAGTAATATAAGAGGGGTACAATCAAAGCATCTCCTTTGTTG